CAGTCAGAAGTTAGGAGAAGATCTGATGGTGGTCAGAAGTCAGAAAGCTCAACCTCTGATAGACAAAAGAATGCTCAGAAGGGAAAAGAGAAGTATGACAAGAAGAAGATCCAATGTTACTGTTGTAAGAAGTTTGGTCACTTTGCTAGAGATTGTTGGTCAAACAAGGAGAGAAAATCAGAAGAAGCAAATATAGCCAGAAGTTCTGATGACGAATCTGTGCTATTAATGGCCTCTGAATCTGATAATATGGATCTGATAGACTGGTGGTATATGGACACTGACTGTTCAAATCATCTTACTGGAAACAAGAAATGGCTGGTTGACTTTGACTCTGAAAAGAGAACAAAGATCAGATATGCTGATGACAAATATCTTAACGCAGAAGGTATGAGAAATGTCAGAGTGATTCTGAACAATGGGAAAACAGCATTGATTCAGAACATGTGGTATGTACCTGGCATTAGAAGCAATCTGATGAGTGTGGGACAATTAATTGAGAAAGGTTTTTCAGTTACCATGAAGGACAATCTTCTGAAGTTGTATGACTGCAATCAGAAATTGATTATGGAGTCAGAACAGGGAAGGAATAGAACATTCAAGGTGAATGTCAGAACTACAGACTCAGAATGTCTTAGTGCAACAAGTGCTGAGAAGGAGAGTGAGTTGTGGCACAGAAGATTTGGTCATTTGAATTTCAGAAGCTTAAAACATCTGAATTCAAAGAAGTTGGTACATGGAATTCCTGCAATTAAGAAGCCTGAAAAGTCATGCAAAGTTTGCATGGAAGGAAAACAACCACGATTGCCATTTGCGTCAGAAGCTGCTCCAAGAGCAAAACATGCCTTGGGAGTTGTACATTTTGATGTGTGTGGTCCATTTCCAGTAGCATCAATCGGAGGGAATAAATACTTTGTGTTATTTGTTGATTAATTCACAAGAATGACATGGGTATCTCTTATTAAGTTCAAACACGAGGTGTTTGATGAATTCAAGAAGTTCAGAATGAAGGCTGAAAATTAGAGTGGTCAGAAGTTGAAGATTCTTAGAACTGACGGTGGAGGTGAGTATAACTCTAAAGAATTCCAGAATATCTGTGAGGAGAATAGAATTGAGCATGAGGTTACTGCTTCTTATACCCCTCAACACAATGGTCTTGCTGAAAGAAGAAACTGCACTTTGCTTAATATGGTGAGAAGCATGCTAAAGAAGAATAAGCTTCCTCAGAAGCTCTGGGGAGAAGCTATTGCCACTGCAACGTATGTACTCAACCGTTGTCCTACGAAGAAGTTGAAGGAAATAGTTCCGATACAGAAGTGGACTGGAGATAAGCAAAGTGTTAGTCATCTGAAGGTGTTTGGTTTTGTTTGCTATAAACATGTTCCAGAAGCCAGAAGACAGAAGCTGGATGATAGAAGCAAAGTGATGATTCTGATAGGGTACCACAGTACAGGTGCATACAAGCTCTATTGTCCAGAAACCAATAAAATTGAATTCAGCAGAGATGTGATTGTGAAGGAATCAGAAGTTTGGAATTGGGATAAGTCTCAATCTGATTCTGATGTTAGAACTTCTGAAGAAAGGTCAGAGTTAAGAATTTTTGAAGTTGGAGTAAACTCTAACGTTGACTCTGACTCTGATAGTGATTCAGAATCTGGAGAAGACTCAGAAGATAAAGGTGACTCTGATGATCCAGACTCTGATGGCAATCCAGATTCTGGTGGCAATTCAGACTCTGAAAATGGCCAAGGCTAGGGCTGGAAATGAGTCGAGTCGAGTCGAACTCACCTCAGCTCGGCTCGACTCGTTAAGAATTGTTCGAATTCGAGTTCGAGTTCGAGTTTGACACGAACTTTTTTTTAAGCTCAAACTCGACTCGTTATAAGTTCACGAACAGTTCGGTTCGACTCGTTAGGTTCATCTCATTAGGTTCAGCTCACATGGTTCACGAACTTAAAAACTATTTTTTTAAATATATATATTTTTTAGTATATTTGACATTTTAAATAAATATATATATTTTAAATAAAATATTAAAATAAAATAAAAGTTATCATATTGAAATTTAACTTTATCTTCGAAATCTACTAATTCAAAACCTACACAACTTTCAAGAGATACATTTGAGAGTCTAACTCAAAAATTACTAAATTGAAGATTAAATTTGTATAAGATTTGAAGTAAATATTTAAACCTAATCTTAAAGACAGTATAATTCTTTTCATATGTAATCGAGTTGACTCATGAACCTAACGAGTCGAACTATGTATAGTTCAAGTTCAGCTCATTTAGTTAACGAACTTAATTTTTCGCTCATACTCAACTCATTTGGTTCATGAACCTAGTTCAACGATTTAATTGTCGAGTCGAATTCCGAACTATCTTCGAGTTGGTTTGGTTCATTGCCAGCCCTAGCCAAGGCTCTGGAGGAAGTCAAGCCTCTGAAGCTAGAAATTCTGAAGTTCAAGACTATGGAAATATGCCAGACCCTGAAGATGGTCAAAGCTCTGGAGGAGGTCAATCATCTGAAGCTCAAGACTCTGAACAAGTTCAGAGACCACAAAGAATCAGAAACATTCCCAAAAGATATGCAGAATTTGACATGCTGCAAGACACTGAAGTAGACTCTGAAGGAGAAGTTATTCAGTGTGCTATGATAGTAGACTCTGAACTCATAAGTACAGAAGAGGCTCTTAAGCAGAAGCTCTGGCTGAAGGCCATGAAAGAAGAACTTGATGCTATATAGAGAAACAAGACTTGGAAGCTGGCAGAACTTCCAAAAGACAAGAAAGCCATCAGCGTCATATGGGTTTTCAAGCAGAAGTTAAAGCCAGATGGTTCAATTGGCAAACATAAAGCAAGGTTGGTAGCCAGAGGATTTCTACAGAAACCTGGGCTGGATTACTCTGAAGTGTTTGCACCTGTAGCAAGACATGAAACAATCAGAATGGTGATTGCAATAGCTGCTAACAGGAATTGGCCTTTGATGCATTTAGATGTAAAATCTGCATTTCTGAACGGTCCATTAGAAGAAGAAGTTTATGTGTCACAACCTCCTAGATTTGGGAAAAAGAATCAAGAAGGGATGGTGTATAGATTATACAAAGCTCTATATGGATTGAAACAAGCACCCAGAGCTTGGAATCAGAAGATTGATTCATTTTTCAAGAAGCGAGGCTTTCAGAAATGTGAGATGGAGTACGGTGTTTATGTTCAGCATACTTCTGAAGGCAATATGACTCTGGTGTGTTTATATGTTGATGACATACTGCTGACTGGAAGTTCTGAACAGGAGATAGCCAAGTTCAAGAAAGTTCTGATGAATGAATTCGAAATGACTGATCTAGGCAAAATGACATACTTTCTAGGGATGGAGTTCAGATATTCTGAGAAAGGTATCATTTTGTATCAGCTCAAGTATGAATTAGAACTTCTGAAGAGATTTGAACTGAAGAATTATAAGATTGTTGTCACACCTTCTGATACAAATCAGAAACTGGATTCTGACTCTGATGGAAAGAATGTGGACGCTACAACCTTCAAACAGTTGGTTGGTTCTCTGAGGTATTTGTGCAATACCAGACCTGATATTTGCTATTCTGTTGGGATGGTTAGTAGGTTCATGAATAAACCTAAGTGGTCCCATTACCAAGCTGCTGTCAGGATTCTGAGGTATATCAAGGGAACTCTGAAGTATGGAGTGTTATTTCCTTCTGGAAGAAAGAATGAGTCAGAACTTCTGAGTTATTCAAATTCTGATTGGTGTGGAGACAGAGTTGACAAAAGAAGTACCTCTAGGTACTTGTTCAAATTTCTGGGAGGTCTCATTTCTTGGTGTTCCAAGAAGCAACCTATTGTGGCGTTATCAACCTGTGAAGCTGAATACATTGCAGGTGTTGTTACTGCATGCCAAGCTGTGTGGATTCTGAATCTATTGCAGGATCTGAAGATTAAAATAAACAAACCTCTGAAGCTGATGATTGACAACAAGTCTGCAATCAATCTTGCCAGAAACCCAGTGTTGCATGGGAGAAGCAAGCATATTGAGACCAAGTATCATTTTTTGAGACATCAAGTTCAGATTGGAGTGTTAGAAGTTGTACACTGCAGCACTCAGAAACAGTTGGTAGATGTTCTGACGAAAGCTATCAAGACTGATCAATTTCTCAGACTAAGGGATGGAATTGGTGTTACAAGTTTTGATGGAATATGAATTAAAGGATGGTATTAGAAGTAATTCATATTTATTTAGTTGTACTATTTTCTTACCCCCTAAGTTTGTTAGAGGGTATTTTAATATTTTTATCTTATTCTAATAATCCTAGTTTTAGCTTATAAATAGGGTAGCAATCATTGCAATTTGTGTGGTTGTGTGTAGCCGTCATTCTCTTAATAGAATATTTCTCTATTCATCATTTATTCTACCTTTACACCAACAATTTCAAGATTATTATGTTATATTTTTTTACTAAATTGAAAAATGGAAACACTTTAATTAATTAAAATTACATTAGCCGTTATTAATCAAATATTTGACTTTATAATTTTCATTTATTTGGAAACCAAACCAAAAAAATTTAAACACTCACTTAATCATTTCATTAAATGTTTTAGTCACCATGAAGAAATAAATATAGAAAAAAATTTAGTTTGTTCCTAAGTAGGAGGCTAAAATAGTTGTCATATAAAACTTATGTTGACCTATTAATTATATTTTAAATTTTTATAAACAAATAAATATATTCATTATAATTTTTACTTTATAAATATGAGTGTAATTTTCGTCCTTGAGGCTACGCGCAAATAACGAAGCATGCAACTATACTCATTTTAACAAAAAACCTAACTCCCTAACAAATCGTTTTCTCCATCTTTTTTTCCTCTTCTACACAGATTTCACTTCTCATTCACAGGTTTTATTTCATCATTCTCTCATCAATATCCATGCACTGTTTCTCCTTTTAGACCATCATTCATCAGAACAAGAAAAGAAAAGATAGATGAGTTTTTGGGAGCAATTGCAGGTGGCATCTGCCCCTATCATTCAAGTCCTTCTTATAAGTGCAGTGGGAGCTTTTATGGCTACTGACCGTGGTGATAATCTTCTTTCAGCTGACTTTCGAAAATCCTTGAACAAGGTAAAAGTAAATGAGCTTTTAGATGAATTCCACGTCGATGTGTTTGAATTAATCTATCGTTAACTTTGTTTTTTGGCTTTTGTTTATGCTTTGTGCAGATTGTGTTCTTTGCATTCACTCCTTCACTTATATTTGCGAGTTTTGCAAAGAGTGTTTCTCTTGATGATATGATATCATGGTAACATATATATGAATGGAATCATAATAATTAATAACAACAGGAATTATGAATTTTTCTTTATTGTTTACTCATGTATGTAGGTGGTTTATGCCGGTTAACATTGGACTCACCTTCTTGATCGGAGGGATTCTTGGATGGCTAATTGTTAAGCTACTAAAGCCAAACTTGAAAGTGGAAGGTCTTATTATTGCTTCATGTTCAACAGGTAGTTATGGTTTTGAAGTTGCCCAGGGCGAGTTATCGCAGATGGTTCAAAATTCGTCATGATTAAATCTTTGTTAAATATGATCTCATAAAATATTTGTCTTTTTTAATGCTACGAGCGTCTCGTATTGATCTCATGATGCTTCTATGATCAGGAAATATGGGGAACCTTCCAGTAGTAATCATCCCTGCAATCTGTAATCAGAGAGTGACACCATTTGGTACACACGATGAATGTCGCGCTAGAGCACTCTCTTACTCTTTCTTCTCTTTAGCGGTAACTATGAAATTTTTGTTGTTTACATTAGATTTTCTTAACTTGTATATGACTATCTCATGTTATTATGTTCTGTGTTAACTGTTGTAGCTTGGTGGTGTTTATGTATGGACCTTCACTTACCAACTGATTCGACAAAGTTCACTGAAATATAAGGCGTTTGTGGCTGATGAACTCTTGAAGGTCGCCAACACAGACCTTGATGCTAATGTCAAAACAGAACTTCTCAAGGGAAATGTTAGTGTTGGAGACGCTGAGAACCAAATAGTAAGACTCTAACACTTCATATTTAAGATTGTGCATGTCTGGTGTCCGACCCTGATATGACGCTGATACATTCAAATTATTACTAGTGTCGATGTGTCTGTGTTGTGTTTGATTATCTAATGATTCCAAATATGCAGCTTGTAGACAAAGCTCTGACCACTGTGCCAAAGCCTAAATCTTTTATGTATAAAATGATGGAAGGTTCAAGCCAAACTTTGAAAGAAGTAATGTCACCTCCAACAATTGCTACTGTGAGTTCTATTTCTTGTTGCTTAGTTTTTTATTTCAATGTGAAAGTAAATAAAATGGATAAGAGAAAACTTCACCCTTTTTCCATGATCAGTTTTTAGGCTTCCTCTTTGGCGGAGTTAAATGGCTAAGGAGCCTAATAATTGGACAAGACGCTCCGCTGAAAGTGATCCAAGACTCCATTCAGTTGCTAGGGTATGCGTCTTTTCATCAGTATTCACCTATATGAAGCACAGGCACAGACACGATATCAGACACATGTGTCTTATATCATGTCGGTGTTTGATACTGACACGTGTGGAACACGTTTTCAATCTGAAATATCAATACTAGACTGAATTGATTCTATGTAGGGATGGTACAATTCCTTGCATCACAATTTTACTTGGTGGAAACCTTGTACAAGGTATATAAAATTTAACTTCCAAAAGATGCACATTCTTTTCTTCCTCAACAAATTTTGAACTATCTAAACATGTATTTTTAATGTGATGAAATTGCAGGCATGAGTTCAAAAAGTATCAAACCATCTGTCCTCATTAGTATCATCATTGCAAGATTTTTCTTTCTACCTGTTATTGGACTTTTTATTGTTAAAACAGCTGCAAAATTAGGGTTCCTCCCACTGGATCCTTTGTTTCAATATGTCTTAGTAATACAGTATGCCCTACCACCAGCAATGAATATTAGTAAGTCATTTCTATTCAAGTTATTTCAATCACAATGTAATATATATAGTTACTACTGTCCGCTAACTCTTAAACACCGATACCTCTGAAAAAATGTGTGACACCGACACAATACCGGTACCTGTGATTACGTTCAATGTATTTTTTTCTTAAATTATTAGCAGTGTCAACGTATCAGTGTCGGTGTGTCTGTTTCCGTGGTTGATAAGTTGCTGATATGACATTTAAATGATATTATGAAGGTACGATGGCTCAGCTGTTTGAAGTAGGCACAGAAGAGTTTTCAGTTATACTATTGTGGACATATGGTGCTGCAGCTATAGCACTCACTCTTTGGTCAACATTTCTCCTATGGTCATTATCTTAAAATTGTTTTATCTTCTCAAACAAATGTACAGAACCATGAAAACTAAACCTTGCTTTATACATCTTAGTCTTAGGGAGCAAAACCTATTTACAATGATGTCTGAAACGTTTACAGAAGTATGCTTGAGGCATGATAATTTTGTTAGGAAGCATTTAAATGAAATTTATATTTTTCTGAAAGTATATTTTCACACGTGCATGGGGAGGCTAGACAAATAAGCTACAGTGTTAATATGAGTAGACTTCTTTTCTCATTTAATAATTTTTACATTTTAGTTTTTTTTTTTAATTTTATTTTATCATTCTTTATATTCATACTACAATATAGTTACTTCATATTAGCGATATTGACAAATTCAATAACATACAACTTACAATATAGTTATTTCATATTAGTGATATTGACAAATTCAATAATATACAACAATGTTGTTCTGAACTGGTCTAATAGTTAGACATGATGCAATTCGCTTATGCTCTCAAAACGGTTTAATTATCTAAGTCCAACCAATTTAGAGCAGCATGTACTTTTCTGTCCCTCCACCGGAGAAGGTTGGTCGGTTTACTCCAGGGTCAGCTACTTCTCCTCGGCAGTTCTTACCCGTCACGCACGGTTCTACCATCTAAAAACAGTCACGACGCTTGTACCCGTTACTGCGTCCATGCCCGTAGCAGCGGCTAGTTTTGGATACCTCTGCTCGTCCTAACGGATAGTTTCTGGCAGTTACTTGTTCTTCAAGGAACGGTTATCTTGCCCCGAAAATAGGGACCAATGGGCAAGCGCTGGGGTCACTATAAAACTCTCTCATTCGAGAGGGTCAATGTTCGCCGTGAAAATTGGTGAACAACCGTTGGTCTTACAAATTGAAAAAATTAAATAAAGTTTATAAAAACTAAGAACACTTTGACAGAGTTCATGATAAATCAACTTATCTCAAATGTAAATGAATTTAGGTGACAATAAGTAAAATCGAAGTACTGGTAAATGATGAAGACAAGAACTTGCATAAAGAAATAGATTTATTAAATTGTATTGAAATGAAAAACTGGTGTTACATCAACGTACATCCTTACAAACTTGTTTCTCTCAACAAACGGGTACTTGGAGTATACTGAAGAATTTGTACACAATTGAACACACACAAATCCTAACACTAAGATCTGCTATTTATAATAATAAAAAATAACTGCCATTAACGGCTAGCAAACGAAATCGAGACAAGTGTCGTTATGCATGCCTTCGAATCTTAGAAGCGTTCCACATGTCTCCTTTAAGGAATAGATGAAAACGGATTTTCCCTCCTTTATTTGAATTCAAATGAACTCGTTGAAATACCCTTAGTGACACCTCTGTCGAATCGAATCTTTCAACTGCTGAGAAATATCTCTAAATCCGTAACATAGATTCTTCTGGCGAAAGGACGCCTTCGACTCCCATTTTAAAATATGGTTCCAGTCGAAATAATTAAATTTCTTCAGCAGCTCTATTTCCTACTTTTAATTCCATTCAGGCGTCGAAATTAAGAGCCAACAAATTTCTCCCCAAAAATGTCATTTTCGACATCAATGAAGAAAAAGACATTTTTTGATAGTATCATATGATGCCTCGAACGAATTTTGCATGTCTTTTATGTCTCTTACTATTCCAAAAACTCATGACGTCAGGACCATCATGGTAGTGTCTGAAAACACATCTCATCAAAGCATGCTACAATCTCTAGCCATCATCAGGATTTCTAGATCCTACGAAATCGTGTACTAGGCATTAACTGTGCATGTTTCATCAAACGGCCCTTGCGGGACACGTGCCCCACTAACTATCAACTCTTTAATGTTTATTTGAGGTCCTTTAAACTCCCACGAGCTTATAAATTGTTCCAAACTTAAAAATTTTAGCTTTTACACTCCCAGAAATCTTCAAACACTCTTCTTCCATCTACATTTTCTAAATTTCTAAACAAAAATTCAGATTCTCTTCAAATCTTAACAATGGCGTCTTCAACCACCAATGTTAAAGATTCCAAGAAAAGCCACAAATCTAAAGACCTGAAGAAGATTTCTCAACTTCCTCCCTTTGACACACTATCAGCACTTATGATGATGAGAAACTAACAGTTCCTCCCCGAACCACTTGAGGAAGAAAAGAGGAAGATATATGAATCTCAGGTTCTCATTCCCATTACTGTCTGGTCCTTTCTGGTTGTTACAACTCTGGATGAATGATTCATTCGAAGTCAGTTTCCCCAATAAAAATCCAATAGATGAGACTGCTGAAGACATAAGGAATAAGAGAGTCGAAGGGACTCGCTTGGTCCAACTCACTCCCAGCGAAGAAGGACAAACCCTCATGCCAACATTCTTGAGTTAAGTCATGATGTTTGTCAAACGTCATGAGTTCACATCGAGCATGGCTCCATTTTCTTCAAGGAAATATGGTCCTGAGTGGTTCGCCAGACCTTTCCCAACCCCAATCAAGGCTCAAGAAGCAGAATCCTTACAGATCTGGGAAGCTTTACTGATTCCAAGATTGCTAACGCTTCGACTGAATCTGTCGAAGTATGAAGTGGCTTTGGTTGCTTACCAATCAAATTTGGTGGCTCGACAATTTGGGTTGGTCCAAGCTCTCCTCAAGTGTCTCTTTGAAAAGAAAGGTGCTCCTCTGCTTCATAATGTGAATTATACTGAAGAGATGGCTTCGACGCAACTTGTCCGCTACTCCAATAAGGTCCAACTCGTCCCCACTAGTTTTGAACTGTGTTTCTTTTGCACCCCAGAACTCAACCACTGGTGGTCAACATACTATGCAGAGGAGTTCTTCGATACTCCTTCTGTTACTTAGCTTATTAACCGATCTTTCCTCTCTGTGTAGAAGAAGACCAAGAAAGGTACTTCGATACACATCAAAGAAATCCAAGCATTCCATAAGTACTTTGAAATTATTTATTGACCATATGATCTTAGTCGAACCGTCCGCGAGGCAGTTGTTACTCTAAAGAAAATGGAGAATTTAGAACTCCCTTCATTCGTTCCTCCTAGGGAACGGTACGCAATGGCTTTCAAAAAATTTCCTCTCAAATTTCTTCGACTACCAAGTGCTGAATTTGGAGTGGCTCTTGCCTCTCCATTTCCATATTGGTTTACCTGTGGGGATTCCATAAAAATCTTTCATCAACAGACGAAACTGAAAGCTCAGCAGGTGGTTGCGACTAAGCATACTCTAGACAGCTTCAAAGGTCTTCGTCATATCGATATCGAGGATGTTCGTATCGAATTCGAAATATATGAAGGTGTGGAATGGGAGGTTTTCGAACTAGATTTCCCCTATTTGATTTATTATCATCTTACTTGTATTGTTCTTGTTTAAATTTTAGCTATCAAGGTTGCCCCCAAAAAGAAGAAACAAATCGAAGAAAAGAAAGAAGAAAGCAATCAAGTTGTTAAGATAAATCTCTTACTTACTTCTTCTTTACTGCAAAATCTCATGTTGTTTGATATTTCAACTCTTTTCTCCTCAGAGCTCTGGAAGGCCACCCCTCACTCTAAAGAAGAAAAAACTGAGAGGAGCTTCCAGCCAAACCATAATTGAGTCGGATGAGGAAGACCAATATCCTCCTGAAGAACAGACCCTGAAAATGAGGAGGAAGCAGGCAAAAATAACTGAAGCCTTCAATCAACCGAAATCAAAGGTTGGAAAACTCTCGACAAAAACATCCCCTGCTTGCAACACAGCGCAGACTGAAAGTGACAACTCTAGCTCTAGGGTTGATGAACCCAAGGTAAATACGTCTCCTGCAACCTTGCAATTTCTTCACCATTTATCCCTCTAATTCTTTGACTTTTCTCTTTTCAGGTTACCACCGACATCAGAGGTCAACCCATGGTTTAGCAGATTAATCCAACAACCAGCAGTGACCTTAGCTACCATCCAACAACTCCTCTTAGGGCCTCTGTGAAAGGCTCCACAAAAGGCTCTAAGGAAGGAATCAAATCTACAGGTGCTCCCAAGAATACGCCAGTCGCTCCTGTGGTGGAGTTTCCTCATGTCGAAGTAACCATTCCAAAAGAGGACTTGGTCAAGAAAGAAATTGTTGATCTTTCAGGGGACACCGTGATGCCCAATATAGAGCAAACTGCTGAGGGTAATCTTGAGGAGCAACAAAGCGAAGATGACAAGCTTACTGAAGAAGAAGAAGAAGAAGAAGAAGAAGAAGAAGAAGAAGAAGAAGAAGAAGAAGAAGAAGAAGAAGAAGAAGAAGAAGAAGAAGAAGAAGAAGAAGAAGAAGAAGAAGAAGAAGAAGAAGAAGAAGAAGAAGAAGAAGAAGAAGAAGAAGAAGAAGAAGAAGAAGAAGAAGAAGAAGAAGAAGAAGAAGAAGAAGAAGAAGAAGAAGAGCAATTTGCGTCTGAAACAGAAATTGAAGTGGAGGTTCTGGAAGACAAAGTGAACCAATAAAATCAATCCAAGGATCCTCCAACCACCGCTTCAACTGGCACTCAATCGGCCACCCTTTCCCACAAAGAGGTAAAGTCTTTGAAAGTACAACAACTATTGGAGTATCTAAAAGTTATGCTTAGTTCCCAATACAACTTTGGCGACAAAAGTACCACCACTTCGATCGCCTCAGGGAACACTCTGACTGGGAAAACTGATAATGACTTGCTTGTGGAAATAAAAGAAAAAATATTTACAGTGGACTTGTTTCAAATCCTGGAACAGGGCATTTCTGTCAGTTTTGGTATCAAAAAACTTCTGAAGAAAATCAATATCTTGGAAGTTTCCCCGAAAGTGGATGATGTCATTATGGAGTTAAGCATGATGATTGATCTAGTTTCCGTTGATCTCAACCGTCTTAGAGACTTCTCGAGCAACCTTTCCAAAAAAATTGGCAATCAAAAAGCTGCATGGGAGACTGTCTCGGCGTCAACTGAAAAAGTTTCGACACTTGAGAAACTTTCTGAGCAAAATAAGAAGGAGGTCGAAAAATGTTACAAGATCATTGCAGA